TTATACATACACAAGGTTTTTTAAGTTTATTTAGAACAGTTAGTAGCAATAATATAAAAAAAGTATAATCTTTAAGCATGTAATTAAAAGATTTATACTTACTACTATTATAGGTATTTACATTTAAAAAGCATTATTTATATTAATTTGTAATAAAATTTATATCGGGATATTTTGTTTAGAAAAGGTGATATTTTAAAAAATTAACAAAATTATGTCATTTTGTTAAAGTACGCTACCACGTAAAATTTTAATACACCTATACATTTTAAGTTTATTAAAATTTGTCAAATTTTGAATGTTAAAAAATATACTTTCAAATTACCATCCCTTACCTGGGAGACATTTTGTAAAAAAATGCATATGTAAAAGGGTCTTTCCATTTCAAAACGACCGGTACGCGCAGGTCATGATTTTCTTTTTCTATGAAACTTAAATATGTTGTTTTTTGGTCAAAATAATGAGACACGTATTTTTTTGTTTGGCGAAAAAAAAATTTTTTTGTTGATTTTTGGCGATTTATTTTTTGCGGTAAAAATCGATTTTTTCCGTTGACCGAAAAAGCTTTTTTTTTAATTGCGTATAACTTGTTCAAAAATTGACTGATTTTGACAATTCAACTTGCAAAATGCTTATACTTATTAACACTTTCTATTAAAAGTAACAAAAATTTTAAATTTATTGTGATAATTTTTTTATACGATAAAAAACGAAAAGGATGGAATTTTTTCAAAATTTAATTTTTCAAAAAGTGTATTTTTTATTTTTTTTATATTTTTTATATTAAAAAGTAAACAGTCCAAACTGCATTTTGACTAAGGGACAGTTAGCCAAAACTTTTCGTTAAGAAGATATGAATTTTTTTTCAAATTCTATTTTTTTCCCTAACGATCTCGTGCTGCTAAATAAGTTTTATTTTTAAAGTAAGTTTTATGTGTAATAGCAAACAAATAGGATTAGAATTTAAAGTTCATAATCGTCTTAAGTGAAAAAACTTGGTGAAATATTTTGTTTAAAATCAAATTTTCAAGGCATAAAGGGATTGGTTTGGGTGGGGAAGATTTAGTACATAAGTGCCATCTTAGTTTAGTACTACTAAACCAAGATTGCCATGATCCTTATAGAATTATTGTTTGACGGATTGTTGTGTCATAACCTCATTTCATTGACTGTTTCAAGTCGTGACTTGTTAAATATATAAAACCTGAAAATAACAAGAATCAATTATCCCGTACAATACTTGAAGATTCCATGTAACTTATAATTGCAGATGCAAAAAATACTGAATGATTAAAACGCATTGATTTTTATTAAAGTTGTACATATCATTAATCTTTGTAACTGATTGCTAGACTTGATAGGCTGGTAATATATTTACTTAATGCTCGGAAATTCCCTATGTTTATTATTTAACTAAGGCTGACTTTTTTAATGCGTAGATTTTTGAGGTCTAAATAGTTCATTACATCTAATTATCATCTAATCATCTTATTATCAAATATTCCAATCATGAGAACTTAATAAATTACACAGTGCTGCTAAATAAATTTTATTTTTAAAGTAAGTTTTATGTGTAAGAGCAATCAAATAAGATTGGAATTTAAAGTTCATTGTGGTATAATCGTTTTAAGGGAAAAAACTTGGTGAATTATTATGTTTAAAATCAAATTTTCAAGACGAAATACATGAGCATAGACAAGGGATTGGTTTTGATGGGGAAGATTTAGTACATAAGTCCCAACTTGGTTTAGTACTACTAAACCAAGATTCCATGTAAGTTGTTCTACGCTTATAACTGCAGATGCAAAGAATATTGAATGATTATAACGCATTATTTTTAGTTGTACAGGGTGTCCCAAAAAAATCTGTCTACACTAATGAATTCTGTGATAAAAAGTATCTACATAATATTTTAAACCTGTATTCGTAACTCAAATATTAACGAAGCTACAAGCATTTGTCAAAATTGTCAAAAATTGAAAAAATAGGTATATCTCCTAAACAAATGCGAATCGAGAAAATTCAAAGACATCAACCGATGTATCTTTAAAAAAGACGACGGGGATGCGTGGTCGAATTTTTTCTAGCATTTATATTTACTAAGATAGCCTATATGGACAACCAATTTGGGACACCCCGTACATATCATTAATCTTTGTAACTGATAACTTAAGAGGCAGGTAATATACTTAATACTCAGAAATTCCCTATGTTTTTTAATTTACTAAGGCTAAGACTTTTTTAATGCGTAGATTTTTGAGGTCTAAATAGTTCATGACATCTAATTATCATCTAATCATCTTATTTTTTTTTATTAAAGTCTTACATATCAATAATCTTTTGTAACTGATTGCTAGACTTAAGAGGCTTAATACTCGGAAATTCCCTATGACCATACATATATTGTATTATTTTTAGAAAATAGGTCAAAATTATTTTCAAGTGTCATGTATGAAGCATAGTACACATTTCAGATGAAGAATAAATATATTTTTGAAGGCCCTGTGTAATTTATTAAGTTCTCATGATTTGAATATTTGATATAGATAATAAGATGATTAGATGATAATTAGATGTCATGAACTATTTAGACCTCAAAAATCTAGGCATTAAAAAAGTCTTAGCCTTAGTTAAATAATAAACAAAGGGAATTTCCTATAGTATTAAGTATTAGTGATGCCGCGAGACGAGACGAGACGAGAAAAGTCCTTCTCTCGTCTCGTCTCGTGCAGCGAGAGAAAATGGGCCTCTCGTCTCGTCGAGAATACTCTTTTCTCGCTCGAGAGTGCCTTTCTCTCGTCTCGTTTCTCTCGTGGTAAAAGTACCTTTGTATGAATACAAAAATCATTTGCAATGAAATACGAATTCGTTTATATTTTTTCTATAGAAATTTAAACTGGAAATAAAAAAAAATGTGCCAAGACCACACTGATAAAGTAAGATTTTTTACGCCGAAAATGTCGCACATTTGAATCAAATGGTTGGATATATGTGGAGTAGCTACATCTAGTATAAGGGCGCAGTAGTTTTCAGATGGATGGATCAAATCATCCATTCATCTGAAAACTACTGCGCATGTCCGTCATTTTGAATCCGCAATTTTGTTTTTTGAATGGATATCAAATTCTTAATCAGGGACCCCATAAATATCTAAATACTAAATTTTACCCAAACCATTACGAACGACAAATTTTCGTCATATTGGATCAGCCATTTTATTTTTTGAAGAAATGGATATCAAATTTTTAATCAGCCCCTCAAAAACTACATGTTGTTGATAAGTTTATTGAATAAGCAATGCTTAATAAGCATACGGGTTGTTTAATAGTATAAGGAGTGCTTATACAGGGTAAATTTTAAAAATTAATATTATATTATAAGTATTTTTTTCTTGGTTAACGTTAAGTTGTGTTATAAAATAATAAAACTTTAACCAGGAACAAATTTTGTTTATTATGAAATGCGAATAATGTTCTCATTGGTCCAAATAAATATCGTCATTTATATGCAAAATTATAATTTTTATGTTAAAAATTTGTTTACTTATTACTAGAATAATCGAGAGAACGAGAGAGATCGAGAGAAACGAGAAATTCTCGAGCGAGAGAGGGCATTCTCTCGTCTCGTCTCGAGCCTTTTTTCGAGAGAAAATCGCCCTCTCGTCTCGTCGAGACGAGACGAGACGAGAGGCGAGAATCTCTCGTATCACTATTAAGTATATTACCTGTCTCTCAAGTTTTGCAATCAGTTACAAAGATTAATGACATGTACAACTTTAAAAAAAAAATAAGATGATTACATGATAATTAGATGTCATGAACTATTTAGACCTCAAAAATCTAGGCATTAAAAAAGTCTTAGCCTTAGTTAAATAATAAAGTCTAGCAATCAGTTACAAAGATTAATGATATGTACAACTTTAATAAAAAACAATGCGTTATAGTCATTCAGTATTTTTTGCATCTGCAATTATAAGCGTAGAACAACTTACAAGGAATCTACAAATATTGTACGGGAGCAATTAATGGATTCTTGTTATTTTCAGGTTTTATATATTTAACATGTCACGACTTGACACAGTAAATAAAATGAGGTTATGACACAACAATCCGTCAAACAATAATTTTATAAGGAGCATGGTAATCTTGGTTTAGTAGAACTAAACCAAGATGGCACTTATGTACTAAATCATGTATTTCGGCTTAAAAATTTTATTTTAAACAAAATAATTTACCAAGTTATTTCACTTAAAACGATTATATCACAATGAATATTAAATTCCAATCTTATTTGTTTGCTATTAAACATAAAACTTAATTTAAAAATAAAACTTATTTAGCAGCACGCGATCGTTAGGGAAAAAAATAGAATTTGAAAAAAAATTCATATCTTCTTAACGAAAAGTTTTGGCTAACAGTCCCTTAGTCAAAATGCAGTTTGAACTGTCTACTTTTTAATAAAAAAAAAATAAAAAAATAAAAAATACACTTTTTGAAAAATTAAATTTTGAAAAAATTCCGTACTTTTCGTTTTTTATCGTATAAAAAAATTATCACAATGAATTTAAAATTTTTGTTACTTTTAATGGAAAGTGTTAATAAGTACAAGCATTTTGCAAGTTCAATTGTCAAAATCGGTCAATTTTTGAACAAGTTATACGCAATTAAAAAAAAAGCTTTTTCGGTCAATGGAAAAAATCGATTTTTACCGCAAAAAATAAATCGCCAAAAATCAACAAAAAAATTTTTTTTTCGCCAAACAAAAAAATACGTGTCTCATTATTTTGACCAAAAAACAACATATTTAAGTTTCATAGAAAAAGAAAATCATGACCTGCACGTACCGGTCGTTTTGAAATGGAAAGACCCAAAAATAAAAATGATTACAATTAAAATTAAAGTTCCCTTTATTCTTTTGTCAATTCCGTTGTTTAGTTATAAAATAAGTAATGTTTGCATAAATATTGATATTTGGTTTTCCTGTTTATGTTTAGAACTTACCCAAATAATATAAAAAAAAGTTATGATGAAACCACACACTAACACGAAATCCCACGCGTAAGTACTAGATAAAGGTGTCGCGACTTCAACCTAAGATATTCCAAAGGTATCTGATAACAAAACAGAGCAGACACACGCCGAAGGAAATAATATTGGTGCACTTTCGCTCTTGGTTGGGCCCCCCGACAAGGCGGGGGTCGACCTCGCCTCACAGCCAAGCGGCGGCTCTGCCCCCCATTATTTGGGCTGACACACCCGCGAAATGCGCGAGTCAGCGTGTGTTAGTATTGACCTTAACACTAGATTCGCAAACGGTAGTGTTAGAAACAAGTAATGCACTAACGGGGTCAGAAAGCGCTGACTCAAACAATTTAACAGTCGGTTTTTAGAAGAAAACTTGCTCGATAAAAATTAAATTTATATTAAAATAACAAAACTCTATATATACAGGGTATATATTTAACTTGAAACTCTTAAATATCTCAGTTAGTATGCATTTTACGAAAAAATTTTTAAATTAAAAATTAAATTATTCGAGGGGGGAAATCAATCAGTACTAAAATTGGTCCTCATACTCTCCTCCTTATAGGAAGAACAGGGGGTAACTTTAAAATTTCCAATGGAACACCCTATTTTTTATTGCAGATTCGGATCATTCGACTAAAAATAGATTTTGTCTAAAACATTTTTTCATATTTGTAAAAGATGGCGCTGTAATGCAAAAAAAATCAATTTTGTTCGATTTTTCTTCTGTATGCGATTCTCCTAGAATTTTTAAATTTTAATTTAATTTAATTTCTTTCGTTTTAATATTCTGCTAACACTGCTCTAGGATATTCCAAATCTCTAGATAATTCTCGTGTGCTTGCATGAGGAATAGCGGCCGTTGCTGCTAATACATTAATTTTATTATTTCCACCTGTGACTGTTGCTCGACGAACTCTTTTTTTCTGTTAAACACCCCCGTTTGTAGCAAACTGCTTGACTGTACGGTGAAATGAAGTGCGTGATCGAATTTTTTTCAGAAAACGCTGAGCGTAGATATTAACAGCATCATCAAGATTCCTGCCTGCTTCTCCATAAATCAAAATCATTTCTATTTTTTCTTCCACTGTTAAAAAATCTATTATGAATAACTGCTTAACGAAAGGAGGTCTTTTTGTTTGCAAATTAATCTTCGAACTAAATTCATTAAATAATGCCAACCTATGTATAAATAGTTTCTTTATACCTCAATAATAATTATTATTTATAACTAAATAGTAAATACAATTTTTTTATACCTTAATTAGGATTAAATTATTTAATTGACAAAATAATGGTTTTTTTACCTTAAATGGGGTATTTTTATTAAAAATAGTACAATAATCCTTTAAATTAAAGGATATAAGGCTGGCAGGTAAAAAGTGACCATGGTGCGCAATTGATAATTATCACCGAATGAAATATTGTATAAAATTTTTAAGTTTTAAAATCCAAAGGAAACTTAAATATTAGTTAAAAAATCCTGGGTACTAAAAAAAATCAGATTTAATTTAATAAGATAATTATTACCAAAAAAAGTGATATTTTTATAGAAAAATTATTGGAGAATCGTATAAGAAGAAAAATCGAACAAAAATGATTTATTTTTATTACAAATATGAAAAAATGTTTTCGTAAAATGCTTACTAACTGATATATTTCAAAGTTTCAAGTTAAATGAGTCACCCTGTATACATATATATATAATATATATTATATATTTATATAATATATATATATATATATATATATATATATATATATATATTATATAATAATAATAATCAATAACATAATTTTACATTTATTGACAATATTCACAATATCGTTTACATACAGTTAAATTAAAATAGCACCCAAGGACCCTTAAGGTCCCCAAAATTAACAAACATGGATTTAGACAAACAACCATTGTACTTTACACTCTGAACTCTGTCAGATAGATATGAAGTAAACCATTGTAACGCTGTACTTTTAAAACCCAACTTTTCCAATTTAGTTAACAAAATCTTACGGTTCACAGTCCCGAATGCTGTTTTAAAATCCAGAAACACAGCTAACCTAAAAACTATGTGACAGACTCTTAAGAAATAATTTAATTAAATTCTTTAAAAAATAGTATATAAAACTCGGCGCGCTTATTAATTAATTGCCCCGCATACAATTTAGTGCCTCGGCTATCGCTTCGGCATAGAAATGAATAATTTGTGCTTTCTCCGCCTGGTCTATAATGCACTATTTTGCACCACTATTTTTGCACTGCAATTAAATCAGCACAAAATACTACCGAAATAATTTTTATAGAAATAGAATTGTAAATTGTAATACAATCAAATTTGTCATAGATTTTATTTTCTTATTGCAATCGCCAATCTGGTATTCCAAATTGGCGTTACAAAACTTTGTACATATTTATATAATTTTTAAATATCTTAATTGCTGTGCAACTTTAAAATAGTCCTTTTAAAATTAATTCCTTAACTTATAGTACACACTGTATAAAAGTGTTAAATGAATAAAAGTAAAAGTATCTACAATCAATGATGTTGGGTCCTTCATAAAATCATTTCACTTTAGGATATTTATAAGTTCTATATAAATATGATACATACGTTTTATGATATACCATTTATTGAAATTTTAAATATTAATAAGTTCTATATAAATATGATGAATACTTACGTTTTTTAATATACCAATTATAATTGGTTTAAATTTAATATTATTATATAGAAACTCTAAATATTTCAAAGTGAAATGAGTTCTTAAAGGACCAAACATCATTGATTGTAGATACTTTTACTTTTTGAATACGATATATTACCTTGCAAAACTGAAACTAAAACTGTTTACATTTATTTTATGTTTTTACATTCAAATTTAAATTGACAATAAATAACTGTATTGCTTTCTTTAAATTTTAAAATATTCCTTTATACACAACATTAGTTACGAATAAATTGTTAGTTTAATTTGACAATACTTTTTTTTATTAATATTATTATAAAAAATAAGTTTCCTACATATAAGATTATTTTTATTTCGTATTATTAAATAAGAAGTCAAATTTGAAAGAAATATTTGTTCTTTAATATTGTTAGGTTTTTTTTGTAAACAATGCATATTTATATTTGATGTGACTGTCTTATTAGGAATTTTACATAAACGAAATATTGCAGCATTTCTTTTTTTTTATTTTATTCCTATGCTGTTTTTTCCAGGCATCATTTTGTTTTAGGTACATAAAATATATAGTTACAGTCTGTACAGATGACTTAATAATTAAACATATGTGTTTATCAGTACCTTATTATTCTCCAAGCAAGACTGACGACGAAAGTCGTAGTGTTTTGGTAAAAACAATAAATCACTGACTGAAACTTTCAAACCAAATCTAAAAATGGAGTTAAAATTGCTGTCTCATAAAGATTGCCGTTAATTAATTGTTGTAAAAACGGATTGTTGGAATAATGACATATTAAATGTTACAAGAATACATTACTATGGTTTTGGAACATGCATTTTTTTATTTCATATATGAAATCCCAGTTTGTTATTACAAATTTTCTCCTCCGTTCTAAAACAATCTTCGACAACGCTACAATGTTTCGAAAAACGCAAGATTTAAACGCTACAATGTCTTTAAAGAAAGCGTGAGACGACAAAAAAGAAGTGTCAAGAATTACGAACAGGTTATGTTTAACCTGTTTCTAGCTGGGGTCTTATATTAAATACAGCAAAGTCCAATATTGTTTATTAGCAAATTACATCACATTTATTATAATTTTTCGGGAAATTTCGAATCCAATTGAAATTATTCAGTAAAAATATATTAAATATCATATTATTGTCCATATTACTAGTTAGATATTTTTTTTAAAGGGAATCCTTTAATAGCGTATTTTTTAGTTATGTACATATTAGACCCATGACATAGAATATATTATTATAACAAATTTGACTTTGACAGATACTCGTTCTTGCAATATTTTCTTGTAATATTCACTTGTTAAGGGTTCTTGTTTTTACTGGAACGCACCCTAAATGTTACTACTGTGTAAACATTTCTTGAACAGATACACCCGCATAATTCTCCTTTAGTTTTTTATCTCAATTTTTCTTAACTAAATAGTTTTGCAAATGTTTGTTAAAAATGTAGATTTTTTAAAATTTTATGGTGAATTTTAAAATGAAAAAATAAACGTCGTGCTTTGCAAATAATATTCTGATTTGAACAAATGACACACGTCAATTAGTATCTGGTATTGGATAATACGTTTGATAAACTTTTACTCTATTGTATGAAATTAATAGGTTTATATCAATATATTCTGATTTTTGTGTGTGATTACATACTAGGTATAATTATAATTATCAATAATAATTATTGTCGATTTTCAAATTTTCTTAATCAAAATATTTGTATCAGTATGGCAAGCCGTTTTACTATTTAATGTACAATTTTTAGGCTAGGGATATAAAATTTACCATATTTAAAATGGTTACAATTTCCATTATGTTTAATAAATAATGGAATATTTTTAATTTAGTTGTACACAAATTTAATTTAAAATACATTAAATAGAAAAAGGGCTTGCCAACTTTGTGAAATTAATTTTAATTTATTTTTAATTTGTCCAAATCTTTTTTATCTTTGGTTTAATTTGGTTCAATTTTTATGATACCTTATTACAATTACATCAATTTTTCTGAAACCAAACCTGCCTTGCACATGTTGAATTCATCGTCAAAAATTATTAGAACTGTATGCAAATGAAATGTTACAAGAAATAACTCCATATTGCAAAGGGGTTGATGTTGAATTACATTTCAATGAATTATTTTTTAATAGGTGCACAAATATTTTAATTTTTATTTAAAACTTATTTTAAGTTGCAATGTTTTTCATATAATAATGTTAATTCAACTATTTAAAACGATGTAGAATATAATTTTTATTGCTTGAATTAAAATGGTGTATAACATCATTTTAATTTCTGGAATTAAAATGATGTCGAGTATAATTTTAATTCGTGATTTAAAATTATGTAGAGTATAATTTTAAATGAGCGTACTAAAATGATGTGTACATAATTTTAATTCAATTAAGATTATATATAGTATAATTTTAATTTTGCGCCGTTTGTGCCATAATTATGATTTATAAAATATAGAATTATTTGTAAAAATATAAATATTTTTTTTTAATATAAATAATTTGTTTGAAATATATATATTTTAACTCATTTTCTT